ATGATGGATAATTTTATTCTTTTATTTCTTTTCATTTCATGCCTTCATTTCTTTTTTTCGTTCATTCATTCGTTTTTCAGTCATTAATTCATTAATTCATTCGTTTGTTCGTTCATTCATTCATTCATTTATTTATTCATTAATTTCTTCAATCTTTTATTGTTCTTTATCTTTTTCACTAAACAATACTTTTAACTTTTATTAGTCCTTCCACTTACGATCCTCATCTGGGTATATATCGACTTCTTTACTTCAGTGTTTCAGGATCATCATCATCATCATCATCACCATCGTCATCATCATCGTTATCATCACCAACATCGTCGTCGTCAAGACCACTTTGATCATTACCACCATTGCAATCATCATCATCATCGTCGTCATCATCATCAGGTTTTTTCAATCACAATTTATAATCGTCAGTGTGGCAATTAATCAACCTTCAGGTCTGACTGACTTCTTCGTATTATGATTAACTTTTCATCACCACCACCACCATCATCATTATCGTCATCATCATCATTGTGACGTCATCATCATCGTCGTCATCATCATCATCATCACCATCACCATCATCATCATCATCATCGTCATCATCGTCGTCATCATCATCACAGCAGTCACGTGGCTATATGACGTTATAAACATTGATGGATGTTTTAATTCCCATGTTACGTCATCAAGAAGAACTTCCGGTTTTCAAAAAAAAAAAAAGATTTTGAAAATGTAAACAAAAAATAAACTTTTTTTCAGATGCAACGGTAAAAATTAGTGAGGATTAATTCGTAGCAGTTGTGGTATTAGTTGTAGCAGCAGCAGCAGCAGCAGTGGTGGTAGTAGTAGTAGTGGCAGTAATAGTAGTAGTAGTAGCAGTAGTTATAGTAGTAGTAGTAGTGGTAGTAGTATTAATCCTTTTAATAGAAAGTAAGACTATAAAATTCTCACTTAATAATTCAGATGAGGATTGAACTTGCATATGCAAGCGTATTTGCATGTTATAATATTAACATTACTAAAAATGTTAGCAGTCGTAGTAGTAGTAGCAGTAAAAATAGTAGTTGTAGTAGTAGCAGTAGTAGTAGTAGTAGTAGTAGTAATAATAGTAGTAGTATTGGTAATAGTAGTAGTAGTAGTGGTAGTGGTTGTAGTATTAGTAGTAGTAGTTGTTGTAGTACTAGTAGTAGTAGTAGTTGTAGTAGTAGTCATCGTCGTTGTCATCATCATCACCACCAACTGACCTTGATCCAGCGGACATGCGGAAGAGGTTCGTCCGGATTGGACTCGGCCACACACGGCATGAAAACCGTATCTCCGACCGACACTTGGTAGAATCGATCCGGTTTCAATTTGAACTGAGGCGGATCTGGAAGCGGTGATGATGATAGTGATGAGGATGATGATGATGCTGATGATGGTGACGATGATGATGATGATGGTGGTGGTGGTGATGATGATTGACACCAACATGAAATAACTTTTTTTCGTCTATCGCTCTGACGAGCCGCCATTTGAAATGTGAAATTTTGTTGATTTAGAACAGGACGAAAAGAATGAATGATGATGATGAAATCATTGCTGGTGATGATGGTGATAATGATGACGTCATTTCTGATGATGATGGTGATGATGACGTCATAGCTGCTGATGATGATCAGTCATCACCGATGATGTAGTTGACGATGGAAAAGAAAAAGAAGAAGAAGAAAAAGAAGATGATGATGATGATGATGTTGATGATACTGGAAATGATGATACTAACAAAATATAGACAAATACATCACGTAAAATAATAAAGATGGCAAAATAGCTGAAACGGAAACGGAAAAATGTAGAAAAGTTAAATTAAATGTAAATTTTGTTATTTTGTTGTCTTTGACTCTCTGACGTCTGCCAGGGGTGTTCCTGGTAATTTTGCTCGTCTGGCATACAAAGCTTGTTTGTTTTTTCTGGGTATTTTATTGTATAATTTTGGGGCATTCTCATATTTTTGGTATTTTTTTGTCTTTTTGGCAGGTTCACAGCAGCGCGTGAGCGTGTGACACACGTTGATAAGATTCTATAGGCCGATACAATCATTGTGATGACGATGAAGATGGTTATGACAACAACAACAACAGCAGCAGCAACAACAACAAAAACAAAACAAAACAACAACAACGACGATGATGATGTCGTTTTTCTTCCGTGCATGCATGCACTCACATGTTGACGCGCATTTGATATAGCGAACTGATATTAATTATGGAAACTGCAAAACGAGCTATTGGTGATGACGACGTTGTTGTTGTTGTGGTGGTTGATGCAGCCGCTGCTGTTGCTGCTACTGCTTCTGATGATGATGATGATAAAGGTGGCTGTTGTACTGTTGTTGCTTTTGTTTTGTCAATGGAGATATGGAAAGAATGAATGAAAGGGAGTGAAATAAATAAATAAATACAAATGAGAAAGAGGATAAGTGATAGAGAGAATGAGAGAGAGAGAGAGAGAGAAAAAGAAAAGAGAAAAAAATGAGAGAGAGTAATAAAAAAATGAAAACATCCAGAAGTGAGACGAATTATAAAGTAAGATAGATGAAGGTGTGACCTTTATTGGAACTCTGCTATATGTTGAAGGGGATAAATGATATGCCAAAAAGAGAGAGAGAGGAGAGTGAGAGAGAAAGAGAGAAAAAAAGGATGGGGAAAAAGAGAAAGAGAAAGAGAGAGAGGAGAAAGAGAGAGAGGTTGAAACAAATGCACACGTCCAAGGATACTGTTAAATTTTCATTAAGCAATTTCCAATCCCTTCGAAGTAATAATGAAGAAGATGCCAAACAAAAAAAATGTTTTTTGGCGATAATTTTTTTTTACTCGCCGGAAGAATAACGAAAAAAAAAATCTTAATTTTAATTAACCGCACGTGTTGTGGAAGGATTTCAAATGGAAGATTCTAAATTCTGTGGTTCGTTTGAGTGTTTTAGTTCTTTTGCTAGTGGGTTGGTTGATCGGTCGGTTGATTGGTTGGTCGGTTGGTTGGTTGATTGGTTGGTTAGTCGGTTGGTTGATCGGTCGGTCGGTTGGTTGGTTAGTTGGTTGGTTGGCTGGTTGGTCGGTTGGCTTGCTAGTGAAATAAGATCTTTGCATGTTTTTAGCACTTTCAGTCAATTAATTATTGAGCGAAAAAATGCTTTGTCTTCAATTTCAGTCTCTTCTTTTTTAGATTTTGGATACCATCATCATCATCATCACAATCATCATCATCACAATTATCATTATCATTACCGTCATCACTATTATCATCACAATCATCATCATCATGTTGATCAGCAGTAGGAGCAATGAACGTAACGGAATGAATTCATGGAAAGGCGATGGATAAAAAAAACTATAATGTAAATAAACACACATGCAAGTGACGACGACAATGATGATGTTGATGATGATGTTGATATTGTCAATGTTGATAATGATGATGTTGATTATGATGATGTTGATAATGACGATGATGATTATGAACAATAAACTTAAGTTATATTAATTATTTTGTTAGGTAAGGGGTGGGTGAACAAACTAGTTTTGTTGGCCTCGTTCGCCATAAAAGATTTTCAGCCAGACATTATGACCAAAAAAAGGAGCCACAAATCTTAAAAAATTTTCCCCCGGGTCGAACAAATTTGTTATTTTCCTATTTAAGTACATGTGTGGCCCTTCAAAGGTAAAATAGTTCTCAATACGGCCCTCACAGCAAAATGTTTGCCCACCCCTGCGTGTCTCAATACGGCTCTCACAGCAAAATGTTTGCCCACCCCTGCGTATCTTAGGTTGTTAATCTTAATTATGTTATTTATTTTTGGGCAGAGGGTTTCATTCTAGGATAAACGCAGATTCAATAATTGATAATAATAATAAAATAATAATAATATAATTATTATTTTAATATTTTTTTGCTTTTGTCCTAAGGTGACGGCAAGCCTCATGTAATTATTTCATTACAAAAATCAAGATAATTTTAATAACTAATGGCGTTTCTCCTTGGACAGTCGGTCCGTCGTCGTCATCATCATCATCATCGTCATCATCATCGTCATCATCGTCATTATCATTCTCGTCATCGTCATCATCATCATCGTCATCGTACAGATGCATAGTAGTAGTAGCAGCAGCAGCAGTAGTAGTGGTAGAAACAGTAGTAGTAGCAGTAGTAGTAGCAGCAGCAGTAGTAGTAGTAGTATTAGTATTAGTAGTAGTAGTAGTAGTAGTAGTAGTAGTAATGATAGTATCATTACAGTAAGTAGTGACGTGTTAACAAGAGAAAAAAAAACTATATATAATAAATGACTCCACACTCAAATTATCCGACATTTTTTTTCATCATTTATACCATGATAATATTGTTTTGTTATTATTATTATTTCAGTTTTTTTGTTATCAGTTTTAGTAGTAGTAGTAGTAGTAGTAGCAACAGCTTCAGTAGTAGTAGTAGTAGTAGTAGTAGTAGTAGTAGTAGTAGTAGTAGTAGTAGTAGTAGTAATAGTTGTAGTAGTAGCAGAGGTAGTAGTAGTATTAGTAATAGTAGCAGCAGCAGCTTCAGTAGTAGTAGTAATAGTAGTAGTAGTAGTAGTAGTAGTAGCAGAGGTAGTAGTAGAAGTAGTAGTAGTAGTAGCAGCAGCAGTAGTAGTAGTAATAGTAGTAGTAGTAGTAGTAGTAGTAGCAGAGGTAGTAGTAGAAGTAGTAGTAGTAGTAGCAGCAGCAGTAGTAGTAGTAGTAGTTTCGTTATCATTCTTTACCATCATCATTTTTAGATCGTGTCTCGCATTTATCAGAGCTGCGTTATTTTGTATCATTAAATTGATGACGCCATTTATTATTATTATTATTATTATTATTATCATTATTATTACAATTATTATTTTTATTATTTTCATTATTGTTATTGTTCTTATTCGTAGTGATAAATTTATATCGGCGTCACCCAGTGACGATGATGCCGTTCGAGAATGTGGTAGGAAAAATATCGAGACG